CCTAGAATTCTTTGAGGGAAAAGATGTGCTTTGTGTGTCTTAAAGGTATAGAGCACACCAAGGCTTCTATTGGCTAAGGAAAGCTTCTTTCAAGCTCAATCTGAGCAGGGGGCAGGTAAGCAACAGGATCCTGCACACACCTGGAAAGGCCTCTATGGGCACATCTGCACCTGCAGGCACCAGGTTGGTGACCCATGTACTAGGATCTGTTTTGTTTTGTTTCTACGGATGCGAAACATGGGCCAAGGTGGTTTTCTTCATTTTGCATTCATTGTTGCCATGAATATTAAAGATCAGCTTCCTTTCAATTTAATAGCTTCAATTATTAATAATAGTTCATTACTCTTCTCATGTCTACCTACATCAAACTCAACCTGGCAGATTCCTGCAAGCTCAGTTAGCCTGGCTATTTGATGTGCACTAGCAAAGCATCCCGGTCCTGTCCATAGATCACTGCACTGATCGTAACTCTGACGGAAGCTGCTGACTGTGATGTAAGGTTGTGGGTGGGTGCAGGGCTGTGAATGCTTCTATTGCCGCTATTTATAGGACGCCATTGTACATCTTGCCAAAGTTTTGGATCAAAGGCTCGCCATAGCTGGAAGCAACAGGGACAGAAAACACTTGGGCACATTTAAGCCATTTAATCTGGCCTCCCCAATTCACCCTCGCAGGAAGAACAGCTTCCATCTGTAAATCGCAGGATCTGTTTACATCGCCCAGTGGAAAAATAGGTAGGGCAGTATCCAATGAATGCCTCTCATCTGCGCAAGGGTTTGTGCTTCTACAGTGGAACTCTTCCCAAATCTGCTATGGAAGGTTGGGAGAAACCCCTACAGCAGATGTAGGTGGTGTGCAGGCGGAAGAGAGGAGGAACCAGAGTAAATCCTTACACTTACGGGATGCATTAGTTGGCTACCACCCCTAGATGGGCTGTGAAATCGCTTACACCGGAACAGACAATTAGAGCCGGTCCTATCGTTAGACAGTGGAGGGCGAGTGCTGCCTCTGGCAGAAGGTCTGTTGGCAAGGGAGTGGCAACAAGTTGTTGGAGATTTGTGTGCCACGTGTCTTGCCCTGCACCCTCTAAGCTTGCTTGCTGACCCCAGGTGCGGCGCAGGGTGCTGTTCTGTTGCTGATACAAAATTCAGTTGCCAATCCATTTGGTTTCAGCATCTCAAAGGAGGAAGCATCTTCTCTCTGTTTCCCTGTTTCACCCCATGCTCTCCAACACAGAGAGAGCCTGTGTGGCATCACGGTTAGTTACGGATGTTGGTTCAAAAATCAGGCTGCATACTGCCAGCATACTGGAGCGCGGGGAGAGGTTTTGTTTGTTGCAATATTTCAACCTGCTATTGTGGTATCTCAATCTGCTATTTTGCAGAGAATCAGTGTTTCTGAGCATTGAAAAGACAGCTTCTGGAGTGGTGGAGTTGCGGGCAGCTTCCCTATCAGGGACATATACTGCCAGAAGCGGTTTAGTCATGTTGGCCACATGACCCGGAAAGCTGTCTGTGGACAAACGCCGGCTCCCTCGGCCTGAAGCAAGATGAGTGCCGCAACCCCAGAGTTGCCTTTGACTGAATTTAACCATCCAGGGGTCTTTCTTTTTTGTACTGCCTATAATGGAATAGAGATGTTCTGCAGTAGTAGCTGGTGCCTATTGAGATTGGTAGGGTGGGAAGCAGGGAGACGAACAGTAGATGGCGCCAGAGCCAATGACAGCCAGAGCCTTCTAGTTCTGTCTGCATCCTCTTCTCTGAGAAATTCTATAAGGTCAACGTTAAAATTAAAGAGGAGCACCCTCTGTACTGGTAAAAAGAGAGAAAGCCATAAGGCGGGGATTTGGCTGAGGGCAGACAAAGGTTGGTGAGGCAGTACCCTTAATGGACCTGCCTCTGGTGTATTACGGCCAATTATTGCCTCTATTTCTGATATTCAGGTGGGAGTGCCAATACTTACCTAGCAATTATTATTATTATTATTATTATTATTATTATTATTATTATTAGAATTTATATACCACCCTATACCCTGAGGTCTCAGGGCAGTTCACACACACAAAAGAGAGGTGACGGACAAGCAGGGTCCTGTGAGCCAAAAATTCATGGAAGCAGAAAAAAAATATTTAGGGAAAAGCCCACTGAGGTTGCACATACTCAGTAGTTAGGGAATGCTGACCTGCTGTTAGGAGAGGAAGCAGAACTGGTGACAAGGGGACTGTAATGGAAAGCTGTGGAGGAAAGCATGGCTGGCTGGCTGGCTCACTGAACAGGAGCATTCCATGCAGCAACATTTTGTTGCAGCGCTCATTGGGACCCACTGATAGGCTGATGCATCCTATTTTTTAAGACACAAGATCATTGTCTGCCAGCGAATCCCATATGTGAGTTATGTATTGCATGGAATAAAACCTCCTTGTATTTATCCTGAGCTCGCTGCCAATTAGTCTTATTGGATGGCTCCAAGTAAGCCACTTTGAAAGATGAGTTTGATACAAGCGTGAAGAGCAAACAGACAATGATTCATGTCCCTTCACTTTCTGCTCCAGAAAGTGTGTGGCTGCGTACATGGGTGAAAATAACTTTCTGGCAGTAAGAGCTGTTGGATGGTGAAATGGACTACCTTGGAAAGTGGAAGGTTTTAAACAGAGGTTGGATGGTCACCTGCTAGGGACCCTGTAGCTATGATTTGTGCATTGCAGGGGGTTGGACTAGATGACCCCTGGGTCCTGTGCAACTCCACACTTTTCTCTCTGTGTTTGATTGCAACAGGTGAGGGCTGCTCTCTAACCAAGATTCACAGGTCAAATGCTGCTCAGTGTAGATGTGAATTTTAGATCAGGTAGTACATATGAATCCCACTGACAGAACTTTGCTGCTGGTAGATCTCTGTTGTTGTGTTGTTGTTGTTAAAAAGTTTGAAAACTACTGGAATATTCCATGTTCCTTGGACCTTTGAGGTTGCTCTTATTACTTGAAGCATATGTTGTGTGCATGTGATGATGAAGCATCTGGCCCTGAGCGACTGAGGCTGCTGTTACAGCACTGAATGTTCACAAACATTCCAAGGTCCCATAGAACAAAGTGGAATGTCTGTCATCTGGTTTCTGCGAGGGAAGGGGTGCTGGCCAGTTTGGCTGGGATTGAAAACCTTATTCAGCTTGGAGGGGTGGCAGCTTTGTAGGCAGACTGGCACCTAGAGAAGAAAGGAACCTTAGAGACAGGCAAGGTACTATACTGAGGAAAGGGGAGAGAATAGGAAAGGAACTAAGAAACAGAAACCAAAGTGCAAGAGAAAGACAGGTAAACAAGTGCCTAGGAAAGGGCTGTGGAACCTGGGACCCAACAGTGATGTTGGACTCTAATTCCCATCAGACCTAGCCAGGATGGACAATGGTCAGGGACAAAAGGAACTATTGTCCAACAACACGTGGAGCACCAAAGATTCATCAGCAGTAGAATGGGAGATGCCTGTGTGGCAGGCCCAGCACCAAAATGCTTTTATTGGGGTACCAGCAACCTGATAGGGCCTTTTCCTGACATCTGCATTGGGTCCCCTTTAAAGCTTTAAAATGACCAGTGCATTTTAATCTCCCACAAATGTCCACACTACATGATGGGAAATTAAAACGTCAGCCACCTAGCACTGATCAGAGATCCTCAGTGCTGCTTGTCACCAGTTAAGCCTGTTGATGTCTTCTTTTAATCTGGAGCCAAGCTCTGATGCCTGGCGTATATGAGTTTCATGTGTTTGGGTTGGATCCAGACTTAGGGCTATATTCGACTCTAAGAGCTACCCAAAGCAACCCACTGAAATCAATGGACCTAAGTCATGTTTATGGGTCTACTCTGAGTGTTTCTAATGTTGGATACAACCGATTGTCATGCATACAGTAGACCCAGTGAAATTCATAGGACTTGAGTCAGCTATGACTAAGTTTCACTGTTACAGGACTAGGTTTGCAGCGAACCACTGGTTCGAATTAGCCAGCCAATTATTTGGCTACAGGCTTTTGAGTATCCAGCCTTAGTCATACTCAGAGCATCCCCATTGAAATTAATGGACATTACTAAATGAGGACTATTAGTTGCAATGGGATTACTCTGATGGAACTTAGTTGGCTACAACCTCATTTAGTTTTTCACCAGAATCTGTAACTTTGGTAGCATGCAGAACACCATACATTTGAAGTGCATGGCTTCCCACAAGGAATCTTGGGAGTTGTAGTTAATCTCACAGAGCTACAATTCCCAGCAACCATAACAACCGAGGAGTGTTTTTGTGTGTGGAAGATATGTGTCTTAAATCAGTGGCTACTAGCCATGATGGCGATGCCCAGTGTCCAAAGTCAGAGTCTTCAGAATACCAGTTGATGGACCCTGCAGGAGGGGAGAATGGTCTTGCTTTCCAGTCCTGCTTCCCATAGGCATCTGGTTGGCCTCTGTGAGAACAGGACACTGGCCTTGATGGGCCATTGGTCTGATGCAGCAGGGCTGTTCTTTACGCATGGTGTGCATCAGCCTTAAAGAAGCAGATTACACACATCACAGCTACCATAGGAACCAACGGTTCTAGGGGCCGAGGGGGTCTTTGCCCCCCCCAATAAAATATTTGAGGGGGCTGCCCCTCTAACGTTGATGGGCATTGTCATTCAAATGGTGTGCGTGCACCCCATCATGTGATTGATTGTGTGGGGCGGAGAGTATTTTATTCAAATTGGCACCCCTGACAGCAACACTTTCCCCAGTTTCGTAAGGGCAATTGAGGGCACCCACCTACCCACAGAGAATATTTCAGAATCATTTCCCTAGGCAAGGAGTTGACGCACCTTCTATTCAATCCCACTCTGAATTCAGCTGCTCCGACACGTGTGTGTGTGTGTGTGTGTGTGTGTGTGTGTGTGTGTGCGCGCGCGCGCGGGGGGGGGTTGATTCTCCGCCCCCGCCCCCTGTTTCTTCTTCGCCTTCCCCCTAACTCCTCCCCTCTTGGGCCACGAACTCTTTCCCTCTACCAAGTTTGAAGCGGGAACTGGGCGGGCAGGGAGCGAGCGAGAGAGCGACCTACCTTTTCCAGTTTCAGCCTTGGGGAAGGAGAGCGTCTCGCTCCGCGAATGAACGCAAGGCAAGAAAAGAGCGGGAGCAAATCTCTTCCAAGCGCGATCGCGAGCACGACAATTACAGAGTAACCCTATACTAGAGAGAGAGAGAGAGAGAGAGAGAGACTCCCGAGACAGAGCGTGTGCGTAAAAGCGCACGAGAGAAAGACTGCGGAAGGAGCCAAAGAACAAATAACGGACTTGGGCGCAACAGAAGCGGGATGTAGCAGAGCGATCCTCTTCTGGAGAGGGCAGAGCGGAGGCAGGTGGGCTGGGATCCAGCGGATCTGGCTGGGTCTCTGCGCCGCCGCCGCCTCTGTCTCTCTCTCTCCCCCCTCCCCACGTGGCTGCTCCATTTTGCCCTAACTGCGCGAAGCCAGGAGGAGGGGGACCAAGGAGGAGGAGGAGGAGGCGTCCACTGCGCTTGGGCCGCCGCGAAGGCGCCTTTGCGGGGGTGGGAAGAAGCCGGGAGCAGCTGCCGAGACTGTGGGGAGCCCGGCGGCGTGGCGCAAGGTAACGGGGGGAGCAAGGGAGAGTCCGCGCCGGGCGCTTCGTGCGTCCGCCCTCGGTTCCTGGGCTCGAACTTCCTTTGGCACCTCGTGGAGAGAGAGGGAGAGGAGCGGGCCGGGGCTTTGATGTGGGACGCGGTTTGGCGGAGCGAAGACGCGGCAAGGCTTGGCGACAGAGGAAGGGGGCTGTTTTCGTGGGGAGGTGGGAGGGGGTGTCTTTGCTTCTTCCCGGCAACAGATCCTCCAGGCTGGGGAAACTCCTCCTGCTGGGGAGCGACCCGCTTTGTGCTTTGCCCGCTATCCCATTATAAATGTTCATAATATGACCATATAAGCCCCAGAGAGAGAGAGAGCGCGCGACAGAGAACTTCGTAGGAAACTGGCTTTTGCGGAGTCAAACCAGTGCTCTGCCCAGGCTCAATATCCTGCACGAGGGCTCTCCTGGGTTTAAAGCGGAAGCCTCCCCACCCCCTCCGACCCTACATGCAGATGCCGGGGATCGAACCCAGGAGCTTCTGCATGCGCAGCAGATGTCCGGCCGCTGACTTGCGGCCCTTTCCCCTTAATCTGCACGTGGGCGCCGTGGAACTGACGTCTATATGTGTGCATGTGTGTGTGTGAGAGAGAGAGAGAAAGAGACCACTTGGATACAAAAGCACTGCTCCCAGTAAATCTCCATGGATCAAGCCCTCTACCATTCCACCCTCCCCCCCCCGCAAAAAAGATGAAACAGGAATGCCCAACCAGGGAGGGGTGAACTCCTCTCCCCCCCCCCAAACAGTCAGCAACACTCCCCACTCCATCAGGGGGTTGTGTGTTGTTTCACAGGCAGGGATATGAGAGGAACCTTGCTCATGTAAGGTAAGCCAGAGGTCCCCATCCATTCAAACCCCACTCAGCATACATTTAATGCACTTGACTTCACCCAAAGAAACCTAAGAACTGTAGTTCTCCCCCCCACAGAGCTGTGATTCCTAGCACCCTTTATGAAACTGCAGTTCCCAGGATTCTTTTTGGGGAGAGGTGCTTTAAATGTGTGTCAAAATGTGCTTTAGATATATGGTGTGGATGGACTTCATTTTCATTTGCATCCTTTTGGTTTTTCTTGCTGTTTTGTGCCCAGCCAAACAAACAAACAAAAGCAGAAACTAGTCTGAGAGAAACTCACAGAGGTTTTCTTCTCTCTCCCCCCCCCCCACTTTCAAGCTCACCTTCGCAAAGAGTCTGTGGCTGCAGCCTGCTCCCTCCCCCTTCCTGACATGTTTCTCTTCGGATGGCTCGGGAGGAACCAGCAAGCTGGGATGCTCCACTTCTGAGCTCCTCTCTCTTCCTCCATCCTCTACGGGAGAGCAGAACCAGGTGCCGCTGGGGGAATAAGCCGAAGGCAAGGCGATCAGCCCACACACTTGAAGCAATGCGGTGGTGGACGAACGGTAGGTGGCTCTTTCAAGTTGATTCCCCTGTGGGCTGGGGTAGGTGGGTTGCGTTGCCGTTTGGGGGTGCAGCATCTCCGAAAGGGGTGTCGGGGGGCATGCAAGATGTTTGGATGCGTTTGTTAGAAAGGGAACGTCTTGTACTCGCAGGGAGTGTTAAACTCTGCACTTAATGTTCTTACGGGGGGTGGGCTCTTTCTTTAGATGGTAAGGTGTATTAATTACTCTGCTTACTTCAAAAGGTAGTAAGGCAACCCTACTGTGTTGGGGGGGGGAGGGGGACTGCTTTGGGGGGGGCAGCTTTTTATGCTTCCTGCAATGCCTAGCCTGATGGCACCGCTGCTTCAAATCTCTCCTTGGACAGCCCCAAAATGACATTCCTAGAAGTGTTATAAGGTCGGGGGGGGGTGACCCAAAGAGACCTGAAAATGGTTGATGTTCTTGTCTGAACGCAACACTGAGCTAGGCATTTATGCCGGACTCAGTGCAGACTCTTGCTTTCTCAACTGCTGTGCCGGAGGGCTAAAGTCAGACAGTTGGGGCTCCCCCCCCCCGCTGTTTCTTTCGTTGATCTAGGGATCCTTGGGGCAGTTCAGGAGGGGGGGTTCAGGAAGAGAAGGAACATCCGTTGTTTGAAGCCCAAAGCTTAAAGCTCTGGAAGGAAGACTGGGGGTGGAAGCATGTCCATAAATCTAGATTCTTGGCGCGGTGACAAAATCATAATAATAATAAAAAACAACCCTCCCGGGTTTTATAGGACTGGTGGGGCTGCAGAAGTGCCTGTAGCATTTCATTGTTTTTTAATCGAGGAGGTGGCTGTGTGCCTGAGCATGGCTGTGTGCAGGGAGGGAGGGAGGGAGGGAGGGAGAAGCCCCTTGGCAGGTATCCATCCACTGTTGATAAAAAGAGATTTAAACGCAAGGAGACAGGCTTTCCAGCCCGAGAGAGAGAGAGAGAGAGGAGATGCAGTGGGGTGAGAGTTCAAGACAGTGTCAGGCAATATCCTAGTAAAACTAGCTGGACTCATGATTCCTCCTCTGGGGAAGGGCCATAGCTGAGTGGTAGAGTGTCTGCTTTGCATGCAGGAGGTCTCAGGTTCAGTTCCTGGGGCTGGGACTGTCTCTTGTCTGAAACCCCAGAGAGCTGCTGCCAGTCACTGTAGAATAGACCATGCTGAGCTAGATAGACCCCAGTTAGAAATTAGCCAGGTGCCAGGCGCGTTTTTCAACTGGCATAGTTCCAGTTGTGACCACCTGGAGATCTCGGGATGCCAGGATGGCGATCAGGGTAGCCAGTGATCAGGAACGATGGGAGCTGTAGTCCCCTGGAGGGCGCCAGGTTGGGGAAGGATTATCTGAGCCACTGTTGTCAATTTTGACTGGCAAGAGTTCTCCAGATCCACTGGCAGAAAAGTCTTTCCCAGACCTGTTATCTGATATCATTTGTTTAATTGGAGATGCTGTGGATTGAGCCTAGGGCTTTGCAAAGCATGTCCTGTGCCAATGAGCTGACTCTCAAGTGAGCATAGAATTGCAGCCTTAATTATACAGGGTGGGATTCAGTTAGGTGCTACTCAAAGTAGACCCACTGCAATTAATGGACTTCCATGGTTCTGCTATGAATCACACTTCATTGAATTCCACACATACCTTAAAAGATCCATAGATGTCAAATATCCCAATTCACTTGGCACATTCTCACCTCGCTCCAATAATGTGACCTACTCTCTCCTGTTCTTTTACCATTGTTGGAAAAAAGTTATTAAGCACAAAAAAACCCCTCTCTCCTCCCTTTGTGCGACCTTTCCTGTATTGAGTAGAGGATAATTTTCAATAGCTAATGGGGGATCAACATTTACAGTGCAATTCTGCATAATTGAGTTCAATGGGGCTTACTCCCTGGTAAGTAGTCTCTTCCCACAGTTTTGTTTAAGGAAACTCTCTCCCCCCCCCCATGGGGATTTTAGGCTGTGATGCAGAAAACCCCCACCTCATTTCGGAAGACTTTTTATTTAGCAGTTGCTTAAGCAGAGCTCCCAAACTGTGCTTTAGACTCCTCTTATTAATGTGTGTGATGCAAAACATGGAGGAGCAGCGTGGAGGGAAATGGTTATAAAACCTCTTGAGAGATTATCTAGAACTCAAATTATGACTCAAGCCTTTCCCCACTGTTTATCGCACAGCAGAAATTATTATCGTTATGCTTCCATCAATGTAACATTCATTTGCAAACGTGAAAAGCAAAAAGCCACCTTAGCTCCATGCAGAGCACATACGTTGTATTGAAAGGTCCCAGGTTCAGTCCCTGCCATCTCCAGCTAAGTCTGAGAAAGGTCCCTGTCTCAGATTCCCTGGAGAGCAGCTGCCAATCAGTGTAGAACGTGCTGGGTGAGATGGACCAGCTATCTGACTTGATAGTTTTCTGCATTCATATGATACTCTTCAAATACATTCGTAATGTTCAGCTCTCACTTTAAGCAGTGCTGGTCCAAACTAAAAGTGGAGTTTCAAGAACATGTTGATGCCCCATCAAAGGACAATCTCTTTTTTTTCAGGGGGAGGCAAAGGAATCCCAAAATGGAGTGGTGGGAAGGAATGTGTGCATGCAACACAGCAAGGCAGTGGATGTTTCCCTCGTGGCATCCGTTCTATCAGACTGCAGAGCAGGGGGAGAGAAGGAAGGCAGGGCTATTATTCCATTGGCTCTGCTGAGAGACCATCTACTGCCTTGGGCTCTCCCTCAGCCTAGTGGTAGCATCCATTCCATCAGGCTACAGAGCAGAGAGAAGCAGGGCTATTCCGTTGGCTCTGCAAAGAGACCATCTGCTGCCTTTGACTCTGCACCCAAAAAATGTCCCCTAGCAGCAGCCGTTCCATCAGGCTACCTAAATTGCTTCCTAGCTGTTACAAGAACGGTAACTTTCAGAACTTGTGCCTGCCTTTTTCCTTCTCCTTCTCCATCCCTGTTTCCTTTTGTGTTATGTCCTTTAGATTCTAAGCTTGAGGGCGGGGGCTGTGTGACTTTGCAAGTCACCCTGGGAGTCTTTTTGCCTGAAGAGTGGGATGAAAATGCTTGTTGTCAAGGGAGCCTGTCTGCCATCCTAAAGGGGACCTTCCTTCCCACTTAAACATACCTTCAAAGTAAGGGCAAAGGATTGGCATTGTTTGCTCTCATTGACATTGTCCTATAGCCGGACCTGATTGGCTCTGCGGCACCGTGGTGCCATTGCGTTCACTGTGTGATCCCTGATTGGTTGGGATCACAGCAAAAAAGGAGAAAGCCTTTACAAATGGCACAGAAACAGCAGCATGGCATGAATCCCTAGTTGGAAGACCACTGCAATATTTCAGTAAAAATGAGATATGCCCCCTTGCGCCCATACTCTACTGTAACAAAGTAATGGCAGTAATCCTATACACTCGCCCTGTTCATTCCCTTTCCCTTTCAATGCTTTGCATAAGAACATAGGAAGCTGCCTTATACGGAGCTGTCAGACCATTGAGTCATCTAACTCATTACCTTTGACATTGACTGGCAGCGACTTTCTCAAACGCCAAGTGGGCTTTCCACCTCCGTCCTAATTGGAAGTGCTGGACCTAGGGCTCTCCTGCTGAACTATGACTGCTTGGTCTCCCTCGTGGCATTTTCCAGATTGTAAGCTTCTTGGGGCAGGGATCTGACCACCTTGGAATAAGTCTCGAATTAGTTCTCTTCCTAAGACAGTCTGCATTAGCAGATGGCATTTCATCAGTCCGTGGTAATACCAAGTGCTTTGGTGGTTTGGCATGGCAGTTAAAGCGAAATGCTGGGGAACAAATTGGCAACTGTTTCACTCTGAGAAACTCGGGCGACACACGTGTAAGACATTTGTTGAACTAGGGAGGCTGGGGAGTTCCATGGAGGAGAATTTAACATCATGCATTTTTTTTTTTAAAAAAAGAAATATGGATATGCCCAAGTGCAAAACATGTTGCTCTAGATTTCTGGCTTAATTATTAAGGATGGGAAGCAGCTTCGCTTAAAGAATGCCAAAGTGCTGAGTAGAAATGCTTTGCAGGAGTTGGCCGCAGTGTGCTAAATGGTCCCACGGGTATGAGTCAGGGTATATTTTTACTTTTTTGCTTTCTGTTATCCAGAGATTCCAATTACAATCATATCTTGGTTGTCAAATGCCCTGGAACTTGGATGTTTTGGCTCCCGATTGCCGCAAACCCGGAAGTGATTGTTTCGGATTGCGAACGTTCTTTGGAACCCAAACGTCCGATGGGGTTGGAGCTTCCTGCAGCCAATCGGAAGCTGCGCCTTGGTTTCCGAACATTTTGGAAGTCTCATGGACTTCTGGAACGGATTCCACTTGACTTCCATGGTACTACTTTATATATATGTTTTGTATCCAGAGCCAGTGTGGTGTAGTGGTTAAGAGCGGTAGTCTCGTAATCTGGTGAACCAGGTTCGTGTCTCCGTTCCTTCACATGCAGCTGCTGGGTGACCTTGGGCCAGTCACACTTCTTTGAAGTCTTTCAGCCCCACTCACCTCACAGAGTGTTTGTTGTGGGGGAGGAAGGGAAAGGAGAATGTTAGCCGCTTTGAGACTCCTTAAAGGGAGTGAAAGGCGGGATATCAAATCCAAACTCCTCTTCTTCTTCTTCCCTTCCAATTCTAGAGTTCTATTATTTTCATGTCTCTCTCCTCCCCTCCTCTCACTGCATGTCGACCCCTCCCTCACCAACAGTCTTAGTGAAGCGTGATGTGGGTTTTCAGAACAGAGCTGTGGCTCCATGGTTGAGCATCTACTTTGCACATGGAAGGTCCCAGGTTCAGTTCCCAGTATCTCCAAGTGGGGCTGGGAAAGTATCCTGCCTGAAACCCTGGAGAGCTGCTGACAGTCAGTGTAGGCCAGGCATTGGCAAACTTGGCCCTCCAGCTGTTTTGGGACTACAACTCCCACCATCCCTAGGTAACAGGACCAGTGGTCAGGGATGATGGGAATTGTAGTCTCA